TTGAGAAAAACCTCTACAAGCTCATGAACAACTCGGTGTTCGGTAAGACTATGGAGAACCTGAGGAAACGCGTGGGCATCGCACGAGACCGTGAAGCTGGTTCGGTCGAATGAGGAAGACAAGCTCAGGAGACTGATAGCCAGCCTGGCATTCAACCGGAGCAAGATATTCACCGATGACCTAGTTGCCCAACACATAAAGAAAAGCCACATAAAATTCAACCGGCCTGTTTACGTGGGGATGAGCATCCTCGATTTATCCAAACACCTGATGTACGACTTTTACTACAACGAACTGAAAAAACAGTAAGGCGACAGGTGTGAAGTGCTGTACACTGACACGGATTCCCTGCTGATGGAGATTCGAACCGAGGACGTGTATGAGGACATGAAAAAACGCCTCAATTTGTATGACACCAGCGACTACCCCAAGGACCATGCCATACACAGTACGGTAAATAAAAAGGTCCTAGGTAAGATGAAGGATGAGTGTGCTGGCACGCCCATAGCCGAGTACATAGGCTTGAGACCCAAGATGTACTCCATCCTGAAGGCCGACAATGGTGAGATCTGGAAGGCGAAAGGTGTTAAGAAGTATGTGGTGAAACACCACATCAAACACGCCAGATTCAAGGAAGCCCTGTTCAAGACCCGTACATTTAGGCATAAAATGAAGACGCTTAGAAGTGATGGGCATAGGATATACGGACTGACTATAAACAAGACGTCCCTGTCGCCGATGGACACTAAGCGTTGGATAGCTATTGATGGGATCAACACGTACGCGTACGGGCATGAGAAAATTGAACCAAGAACATAGGTGTATATATATCGGGGCGACATGTCACGGAACCAAAGAAAGTTTGAGGCTATTTACTACAGCGCGCGTGGGTACTGGAAAGGAGCTAGCGACGTACATAAGCTGGCTAAAATGGCGCGAGTACCCCCAAACGAGGCCAAAGCGTCGCTTGAAAAACAAGCCCTGTGGCAGATCTATTTACCGGCACCACGCTACGTGCCTCGAAGGAAGTTCGGTATTAACATACCCAATAGCGTTCACCAGGCCGACCTCCTATTCCTACCCCACGACAAGAGGTACAAGTATGCCTTACATATGGCCAGTCGTTACAAGGAAGCCGAACCCTTAACCGCGAAAGACTCGGCCCAGGTAGCCCGCGGATTCGAACGCATATACAAGCGCAGTCCGCTGACGTGGCCCACAGAGCTGCAAGTTGACCCCGGGTGGGAGTTCATGGGTGTCGTGTCGCACCTGCTAGACAAACACGATACCAAGGTCAGACGTGGCACGGCCGGAGCCCATTGCAGCCAAGCCATAGTTGAGAGATTCAATAGGACTTTGGCCGAGCGCTTATTCGGGCATCAGTATGCGAGAGAGATAGCCAACCCGGGGAAACGATCGACTGAATGGGTAGCGCGGTTACCTCAGGTGGTGTCGGCCATTAACCACGAAACCACCCGTCTCACCGGCAAGAAACCAGCCGACGCTATCAAACTAAAATCAATAGTGGCTGAGTCGGCTGCACCATTGCGTGGGAAAGAGAAACAGATACCAGATAGGGCCCCCGTGAGGTACCTCTACCAGCCGGGGGAACACGAGGGTGATAGTCGTAAGCGAGCCACCGATCCGATATGGTCAGTCAAAACTTACAACATAGATAAAGTGGACATCAAAGCCGACGATTCTGGTGTCCCCCGCCGTGATATTGCTGGAATATTACTAAAAGCGGCGTAAAACCAACTCAGTCAGTCAGTCAGTCAAAGCCGACGAGCCGAACTTGTACTACTTGAGAGATGGACCAGGGAGAGGGTTCGCTAGACAGGAATTGATCATACCGTACGGCACAATGTTACCTCCTGTCAACACGACATAGCGGCACAGTTGTGCCACGTGGGGCCGGGAAGTTAACTGGGGGTTCAAAAGTAGTAGATATACTGGGGGCGAGATCTAAGGGCCTGACAAAAGCTTTATTTGTGAAATAAAGCTTTGCAGAGGCTTTTTTTGGACTTGATCTCGGACTGTCATTATATCTACTACTTCTTGCCAAAAGAATTTGTAAAATTCTGCAGTAAATCCAGATGGTCCAGGACTTTTATTGTTTTTCATATTTTTAAGAGATTGAAGTACTTCATCATATTGTAGTGTGCCTTCCAGGCATTGAGATTCTTCTTCAGTTATTTTAGGTATAGTGCAATTTTTAAAAAGTTCTTCAAGTTCTACATCTTTTATTTCTTTACTAGTATATAGATTCTGAAAGTAATCTTTGGTATGTTTAGGAGATAAACCTAGTGTGTTTGAAAATCAGAGACATGCTTTACTGAATTGATGGCGACTAAATTTCAATTGGAACCGAACGCGTAGCGTGAGGTTTCAATTGAAATATTTAGTCGCCATCAATTCAGTAAAGCATGTCTCTGATTTTCAAACACACTAGGGTTATCTCCATTCTACCATGACCCATTTAAAATCGAACTTCCTCGCTCTGCGGAAGACACTGCGTAATCCGCCATGGGACGAGAGGCGAATTGAACTCGTCTGTGAAGGGAGCGGTAGATGCTGTTCGTATTTTTTTAACATTACAACATAACAATATTCTGTCCAAAGAAATCAAACTACTGTTTATTCAATGCAATTAGGTAATACCCGAGTAATACCAACTCCACACGACTAAAACCAGCCTATTGTTTTGTGTGCCGTGAAACTGTACCCCCCTGGCCACACTATAATGAAATCGTCTGACCTACTTATTTTCTTGGAAGTAGACAGTTACGCAACAGTTTGAAATGGCGGACGAGCCAGTGTTGTTTACATTTTGCGAAAGGTTGAAATTTGAAGTGACAGTGGACAATACTTGACTGACTGTTGAATCTGAACCCTGCAGAATCGAAGAATAGATCCTTTCCTGATCAACCTACGACCTGTAACTTATCAAAGACTGTTGATTGTTATGACCGGCCGATCATGATTTCATGTACTGCCTCCACCCCGGCATGCGACAAAAGAGTGACAGTACTGCTGCTTATTGTACATGCGACTAACTTGTGATTCCTTGGAACTTTGTTTTCATCGTTTGGGACTGGGCTGTGTCCAAGCCGCTTTTCAAAAAGTAGATGAACATAACAGTGACAACCTTACCGCGGAAAACTGGCAGAGAGCAGAATTATTTTGTGAACGATGCAACGGGATATGATGGAGTATGGCTATGAGTGGCATAAATGTGGTGTTTCACCACACCGTTAGATCTATCTTGCAAATTTCCCATTCTAAACGGAATTAAATATACCATTTACCAGGTAGGTAAATGTTTACGAATGTTTTGCTGCAAATTTTGTATAAATAGGGATGTATGTTTACAAGGCTTTCTGATTTATATGTTAGATATTGTTTTGTTTATGTTTGGGGCTGTGTATTGTAATTGAGTTTGAATATTTTTATAATAGAAGGTAATATGATAGTGAAGTTCCCTCATAATTGTTGGGGGGGAAATCATATAACTGTATTTTTCGAGTTTAAATAAATGTTTTGTCAGCATTTCCATCACGTCTGTTGTGTTGATATTAGTCATGTTGGTGGTCAAGCTGAAGTAGTGCGGCAGTGTTCTATACGTGCGCAGTGAAGCGCAATGAAATCAAACGCATTTTTAATCCAAAAATTTCCAATTGCCTGTGTGGAAAATTCGAAAGTCAGCGTCAAAATCCATGGAGTTGTTGTTATGATCCGCCATCATTGTGGTCAAACGGAAGTAGTTCTCACAATAAGATTTGTCAATGCGCGGTGAAGCGGCCTTACAATCAGATGAGCGTCAATCCACAATTGATGCCGTCTGATTTTTCTGAACAACCAATCAGAATCTAGTATTTTCTTGATTCATGGTAGAATTAATAATATCCTTAGCTTCAAATATAGTACCGTGTGAAGTTTCTAATCTAGCAACGGATTTATTTTGAAAGTTTTGTTTTTCAAGTGACAGGAAGTATTTCGACGGTTTCTTTCCCTGTTCATACCATTTCGCTTTCGATCTTAGTATAATGCCTTCTGTTTTGTATCGGTTAAGTTCTAATTGTTGTTCTTTGAGTTCATTTATTTCTTTTAATAATTTATCTTTATATTCTTCGTTCATGGCTGCATCTAATTTGACGTCAAGGTTTTCAAGTGCTTCATTGGTTTCCTGTTCTGCTTTAATTCTTTCTTTCTTTTTTTGAGATGAATATTTAATTGTATATCCTCAAATATTACATAATAAAACTTCAAAGAATATTTGTTCGTTTATCATTAATACTCGCTCTCCTTCAGTGGATCGACTGTGATACTGATCAACAGTTTCTTGAATAATGCTTTTGATTCCTTTCACATAATGTGGATCTTGTAATAAACTATTATTAAATTTCCAGAAGCCTCTACCCATTTCTATTTTTGTGAATTAACATGTCTGATGATTGTCTTTAGAGGGTGACAGTTTGGTACACATAAGAACTATGGGTGTCACTGTTCGCGTATGTATTAAGATGCTTTGGGATTTGAACACCTGAGAGTATGAGTCATGGCAGACTTTGCCATGTAGCAGTTCATGTGTTAATGTTGTGCAATGCAAAATGTGTTAATGTTGTGCAATGCAAAGACCAGTCTCATAACTATTAAGTTCAGTGCTACCTTATTGTTTGTGAGACTAAATGATCACATCTGCGTACTGCGTTGAATGTACAGGGTGACCAGATAAATCTGTGTGGGCATACTCTGTCACTTGGATTATCTATCTATTAGCAAAAGTAATGTGAGTATTTAACAGAGATGATGTCAAATACACAATATTCTCCATGAGGGCAATCCATAACTACTTGAAGTTACAGTATGAAGCACATTGTGTTTTGAATTGTTTTGATGGACTGTTTTGTGTGAGGTGAGTCATAATGACATGTGTTTTGAAGTGATTTGATGGACTGTTTTATGTCAGGTGAGTCATTATGACGTGTTTTGTGTTGTAGGTTAAAGAAGGGTAAAGAACTGAGAAAGGAAGCTGACATCAAGGAGGTTGAGAAGAACATCCATCTTATTAAGTCACCAGCAGGTATGTATAGAGAAGACCTAGTGTAGACCCACTAAGTGTGTTAGTGTAGCAGTGTAAATATGTGTCTGGCATTATAGTGTGTATCTTATAGGGCGATAATATCTCATACTTGCTCGTTATTACACTAAACCAGGGATTTACATGGAGTCCTGTATTTGAGGGTCCCTTGGACTCATACTCGTAATTTTCAGGGGTCCTAGACAACAAAATGGGGGTCCCAGACACTTAAACGTTATTATTAATACTGTTCTTGTATTGTGTATCATGATCATCACATTGTTACAGTAATTAACTTACAAATAATACCATAACCCAGCTTGTAGCAAACTCAGTGATAACTTATTGTCACTTGATTGGAACTTTTACAAAAAAGTTTTGGACTTTTTCTGCTTCCCTGTGGACGCGCTAATAAATTTGGTTGTGTCAATTGTTATACGTATAGGACGCAGGAATTCGCGTCCTGTAAATCCCTGCTAAACATTATGAATAATACATCAACAGCGGACTTGTTATTGTAGTCGTTATCCAATATATGTGATGCTTCAGATGCCTAAGTATCTTAGTATCTTTGCCTCAGAACTCAGTTTCTGATAGTTACAGCAGACCTCTCAGTAAGTGAGCGTAACAGGCTAGTTCAATAACTCTGTAGAAGACTTCGTTATGAATGGGTGACACTGTAGGTCCTCATTTATAGAGAAGCCCTATCATTGCTACAGAAGTCTGTACAAGTTTAGTTGACAGCCACCCATGAAGATCTGAGTTAGAATTGGTCTTTAGCAACCCTTGCTTGTTGTAAGAGGTGACTGATGATTGCTGATTTGCTTGACACGTCATTGCATCCCAATTTGCGTAGATTGATGGTCATGATGTTAATCACTGGATTGTCTGGTCCAGACTGGATTACTTACAGACTACCATTATATATCTGTAACATTATGGAGAGCGTTGGTAGACAACAAACGAAACAACTTAATAGTCTCACATGATTTGTGTGGATTCACATTTAGGCCTGTTAAGGGGACATAACTCTGTAAGATCCGTGAAAGTGTCATACATCCTGTTCCAAATACAATTCATTTGCACCCGTGTGGCCACTGATGAAGATAAATATTTCTAGGGGAAAAAAACTATTCAAACACAAAACTGAAATAGATAAAAAGCTGCTCCAAATTTAAATGTGCATATAGGAAAGTGAGAAAACTGACCTCCTTTGTATTGCTTACATTAAATAATAGATGCTTCATATCAGTGAGGCAAGATAATATTATCATGACACTTCTTCCCTTGAAAGTATTCCGAATAATCCGGATTTAAAATCTGATGGCTTGTGAGTCAATGTCTTACCTTCATGCCTTTCCATTGTTGCTCTGCCCTTGTGTACCGTTGTCAAGGAGTTCTTGCATTGTAGATTATGTTATTTTGTGTTTCAAGTTGTAATTGGCTCCTTGCATACTATGCATTTTATACGAGATGAATCAGGGGGTCAGTTTTGTGAGTCTCTTTATCAAGACTGCTAATGTTCTATTTGGGATTACACTTTCTCAGTAACGTACAGCTTCTGTGATTCGAACCCACACTCTCAGTTTGAGGTACCTAATCACCAGCACACAAAGTCAATGACCTAACCCACTCATCCGTCTTAGCTTCCACAAAATTGGACCTTTAACACCTGATAGTCTAGATACATACTTTATGCACTCTATGTCAATCACTGTAATGTCCTGACAGTTCTTCACAAGTCCTTTTGCCACAACGTTGTGGAGTTTTGTATTACAAACAAAAACATGTTTGTGTATTGATTGACTGTGACACTGGTTTGTGTTTTGCAGCTCGGTCGGCACAGAAGGAGAAGAAGTTGGTTGAGGTGATTGTGGAGGATGACGATGAAGACATGGAGGAGAACTAACAATGCACAACAGTGTCAGCACACAGGATGGAGAGATTTCATTTCATGCTCATCATGAATATACACATCAAGGCTTATTGATATGGTCTTTGTTCAGACAACTGACATGACTTGTGCAGAAAAAAATTACATGTATTCATGATAGTAACTCTTCAGGTGAAAGAGTGTTTTTGTCATGTGAAATTCACTATTTCTCTGTTGAAAGATGCTTTGTTTTGAAAAAAAAGTAAATACTTTTCACATGGTGCACGAAACATGTTTAATCATAGTAATGTTTTGACAATTTCTTGGTGTGATGAAGATTGTGTTGCAACCTCAGATCGTTCACTTTCTGAAACAAGTTCATCTTCCATAGAATCAGTAGTGTGGGCAAGTTTAAATAAAGATAACTTAAGATCAACATATTGTGCATAGCCAGGGTCGAGGCTGTGTTTGTTTGGTGCATCCTAGGAGTCAATGCAAAACTATAACCCTGGTTTGCTGGGAGTAAAATTTGAAATGTATTGCTCTTGGCCATTTTTGTGGACATGAGAATAAATTATCACAGTACAAAACTTTTGTCTTGTTTCTTTTTGTCACTTTGATGAGGTATGTTGTTTTTGATTAAAACAGTGTAATGGTTTCTGTACACTAAATGTTGCCATTATTCATAACAGTATGTTTTTGAGTATTAAAAGGAATTTGCTGTTGCTTATGTACTTGCACATGGTAACACTTGAAGTCTGTTACATAGGGAGACATTGCATCTTAGAATTATTCCTTCTTTTGTTTTCATTCGACGGCTGGATGTAGTCCATGAAACATCCCGTGAAAAATGGGTGGCATCGACACCCTTTTCCAAGGCATTTTGGTACAACTATGACCAAATGCTGAGTCTGCAAGAGCATCAAGCACTTCGACCAGTTTGCAGGCAACTGATAGATGATGAAGATGGCCATCTAGGAATTACCAAGATTCAACCACTTTTGTGTTGATACCGGCATCACAAGGCAGTTTCAGCACTGCCGAACCCAATATATCAAACAGTTTGGAAATTGCTTGCAAAAAAAGTGACCGTGATGACTAAATATGTAAAAAAATCCGAAAATGTTTGACCAGAATATGTGTTGATCAATGTGATGACAAACACCAGAGTTTACTTTTGTCTTTATTAACCAACTGCTATTCATATCTGATTACTTGAAAGATGGCGCAAAATGATATGATTATTTGATGAAAAATAAGATGTATATCAAGAACTAAAGACAAGAACAATGGATAAAATGAAAAGGTGTGGGTACAACCAATAATAACATTGAGAAGTCAAATAATCATAGAATAACTTTGTTTGGCTTTCAGTATTTTTTAGATCAATCTGAAATGAATAACACGGAGACACGGAGAAAAGACCTTGCTGCATGCACCATTATGACATTCGATATGCGGTTAACATGGCCTTTGCAGATATATGTGACTGTATGACATTTTGTCTGTCCAAGTGCTCAAGAATCGAGCAGCATGGTAACAGCAACATGGGAAGACGGTAACATTGTTGACGTCCAAGCAACTTGGAAGATGGCAGCACATTTTGCTCGATTTTTGTCACATAAGTAATGATCCAGTAAACATATGGGTTCTTGCAGACTGATCTCTACAAACACTATTTCCTAACATAATTCCTCAGCTGTGTTGTAGTTCCAGAACTGACTGCCGTTATGTATTCTGCTCAGTGTGTCATAACTTGTTTCGTATCAAATGTCATGGTAAAACTTCATCACATCTAGAACTTTTAGAAACAGTTTATCCATCCAGTCAGATCTTATAAATGAGTATTGTAATGTTGCCCTCTACCCTACTACTTCATGTTTATGTGCATTCTGATCTTCGGTTTAACATTAAAGGGCGCGGGTGATTTATGACCGTTCTTGAAAGGAACGTGCTGGGTGAACTAGAAAGCGTTAATGGCCAATAGTCAGAGTTTAAGAGCTAAGTTGTCATGAAGAAAAGTAACGGACCAGGAATAGCAGCAAACGTACATCACTGACATAGCAACACGGATGTTATGAATGAATCAAACGTTCTAAACCCTTTAGCTACTGAGTTATTTGACAAATTTACCCGTAACCACATCGACAGTCATATACAACAAATATACAGACTTTCTCGTATGTTCATTGCCTTTTTTTATTTACAATACGCTTTTAATTAATAATTCTGTATTTTTTTCGGAAATGAGTTGAGAGAGGAAGTTGGAGACAATAGTTGCAGAACTTCCAAGTAAGCAATGTGTATCACAAGGGTATATAAGGGGCTATGTCAGACAGCCACTTATGAGTGTGAGCGCCGGCTCAAACTGCTTACTCTGGACCAATAATGAATATCACTATTACAAACGACAAGATTAACGTCAAAGAATAAGGGCTCGAATGACAAGTTTCATTGGCGTGAGAGAAGGCGTTTTAGAAGGCAAGAAGAAACATGAGGCGCAGTGGATTGAACTGCTTTATATTATTTGAATCAATATAACTTATTATTACTAATGGTAGTTCATTTGCGTTAGAGCTCTGTTCGAATGTGAAGTGGCGTTCAGGACAGTTAGAAGAGACGTGCGTTGAGGTATAATGAAATTAAATTACTGGAATATATGTAACATGAAAAACAATTAAGCTGTAAAAGAACCTTCATTGCAGGAATACAAAAAACAGTACTGATGGAAGCAGCAAAAATACACAAACACATCGAAGTGTTATGTACCAATGATAGCATCCCTAAGAAACAACAAATAGTTCAGCCGAAAAATCCCCATAGAAAGATTCCAATTGTCATAAGCACAAATGCGTTGACGTTGACGAACATTCTCCACTTGGGCTTCTCCTCTATAGATGTCAACACCTTCCTCTGTATTTCCTCCTCTTCCTCCGAGATCTCCTGAGCCTGGGGAGGTTCATACCCGCATACCAAATATATGATACGTCGCCACTTCGGCAAGGAGGCCACATCTGTGAACGAAAGCCAGGAGTGAATGCTATAAGTTATACGCTTCTCTCGTGGGAGAAGCATACAACGTATTTATCTTACCGCCATGTTAAATGTACAAAATATTATTTTATTTTGAAGATCGCTACCGACTATATGACATGTAAACAAAATGGCGTGTTTCTCGACTAGATTTTTAAAATCAGTGAAACATATTCTGACAAGCTTAAAAATGGTCAATTAAGTGTAAGTTGAGTGTGCAAACGATTTAATGTAGATTCTATAAAATAGTTTAAATAAAGCAGTCGGTAAAAGAAATGTGTACATAGTGAACTCAAAAACAGATAATCGAACGGTTTCCGAACTCCGTGCACTGCATGCGTCATATTATGACGTCATACGATATTTAGAGATACAGCTTCTCGGCGGAGAGTTTGGCGGTTACCGTGGCAGCGGGTAATATTCTTTTCCAGTTGTCACCCTCCTGGGAGGGTTTAACTTGTTAAAGCGTCATTGACCAATGAAATTAAAGTACTTTACATGAAGGTAAGATAAAATACTATATGTTCATGTTTGCATGGTCCCTTCTGCCCTTACATGACCGAAAACGATTACTGAATACAATAGTGATATTCATGTGCACAGTTCATTTTCAGGCGAGTTTCAATGGCCTCTGGATTCGCCTATGGTGATACAGTACAACCAGAAATTATTGAGAATTTAAGATTGTAAATGTTAAAAAATATTTCTCTCATTACTCACGTATTAAATGTGAATATTAGCAGAACATAACTCCAGATTCAAAGACCGGTGAACAGTTAGTATTTTGTCAAGTCACCATGGGCAGCAATGGAGGCTTCAATGCGGCGGGGCATACTACTGATCAAAGAAGTTAGAAAGTCGTGGTCAATGCTGTACCAATATCGGACCACCTCTTCTTTCATTTCAGCAATATTTGTCAGACTTTTCTAATTGACACTTTCCTTCATAAGTCCCAAACATTTTCTATTGGATTTAGGTCAGGGCTATAGCTTGGCAAATCTAATAATGTCATATTTTGGGTCCGAAACCAGGCCTGTGAATGCTTTGAACGATGTTTTGGGTCGTTGTCCTGCTGGAAAATCCAACTATTTCCACAGTACAGGTGAGCAGATGGAAGTAAATGTCCCCCGAGAATATCTGTGTACCGCTCACTGTTCATATTCCCTTCAAATACACAGAGGGGCGTTGCCCCTAACACAGATATGCCACCCCACACGTTAAATTTCGGACTGTACTTTGGGCGCTGATACAAAGGTTTTTCAGTTTGTTTGGTCCAGAAATTCAGTGTATGAGGAAACTTTCATCTGAGAAAATCACCTTGTCCCTGTTAAAATTTCTAAGCTGTAAGCACCAGTTCAACCTTTGCTCCTCTTGTTCAGGTTTCATGATCGGTGATGGAATTTCTCGACTTTTCTGCTCAGTTCTAATTGTCTCCTTACAGACAGTTACAGTTCCTCTATCAATCATATCCAGCCTTAAGTTTTCTAAACTCCTTCGTTTGTTTTTAGAAACAAGAATACCAAGCCGCCTCCTGTCACCGACAGTCAATTTTCTGGGCCTACCTGCGCCTCCCTGGTGCTCAATGCCATATCCATTTGCAATATTTTTCAAAACACGATAAACAGTGGACAAAGGGATGCCTGTTCTACTTGAAATCACTGTAGCTGATCTGATGTCCTTGTTATAATACTCTAAAATCAACTTCCTCTTCTCTAAATCATCCATACTGAGGATCACTGAAAATGTCGTCTGCTAGCAAGTTAACAAAGGGGGATAACTCTTCACAAACTAATGAAAAGGGATTAACGGAGTTGTCTCTCTTGAATGAAACCGAGCACTTGATAGCTGGTCAAGGTTGTTTATACTAGAAATACAATTAAACATAGTCCTAAAATTCTCAATAATTTCTGGTCATGCTATATTCATGTTAACGTGTCTGCCCTAACAGCTGTGAACAGGGGCGATTGCTGGGCACAATAGTGTTTGTTGATGTAAACGTATAGATCTGTACAACGACACGGACATGTTCCCAAGCGACGTAAAGGTATACATCCTTACCCACAGGCTCGCGGTTGGCCATATCAGTTTTCCTCTGAGCTTGGCCCTTCTCCCTACGTGCTTTCTCCTCCGGGAACTCTTCCCTATCCTCCTGGCTGTGTCTGGTCCACCAAGTCAGCCGGATGGACTGCGACAAAACACGAGGCATTGAAAAGGAAATTGTTCAAAAACTTTCTTAGTAAAGTACAGATCTTGGTACATTTTAGGTTTAATCCCTATCAGGGATTCGAACCCACACTATCTGAGCCACCGATTACTGCGATGGCTGATTGGGTTAGATTGCTGACTTTGTATTGCGACGAATAGGTGCTTTACTCTGAGAGTGTGGGTCAGAATCCCGGATAGGTCTCAACTCGAAACAGTACTTTACTGAGAAAGATTTATCCCATACAAAACATGCGCTGCAAATTAAGGTTTCACTCCAAGAGACCCATGTATGGAACTGCCGTAATATTATTGAAACACATTCCTTTCTCAAACAAAATAGTCAAACAGATAGCTTCTAACTAAATTCGAAATATTTCGAATAAACTTTTTGATGATATTATCCTTGAACTTCCTGAAACCATGTTGCCAGTTGCGAGCGAAAGTACCAGATATCAAAGAAATTTGAACAAGAAGGTCAAATGTTCAATACGGACAGTTCTCTTGTAAAAGTGTTATTTGAACACAACAAGATGCACACTAAATGAATGTTATTTAAATTGCAAATTTACAAACACGTAGTTGGTTAGTCACCTTTTGATGCATTGAATCAAGACAATAGATGAAACATAGGACAGCACTGTTCAATGCATGATGTAAATTTCAACCAAATCAAATAATGTGTTTCTGTGATGTGAAAATTCACATGTTTGTATCCACAATCAATATTATGCAAGCCAATAGATCATGTAAAGAACCTGGGATTAAAGGCCATAGCCTTCATTATAACTAGAATTCGGTGAGGTGTATTCCTCTTTGTTGTTACAGGTGTTCTTTAATACTGTCAGATCCAATCCCTAACTTTTATGGGTCCACCCCTTAACAGCGGGCTCCAAGCACGGCAGGTATTTGAACTAGTTATATGGACTACTTCACGTCATCTGATAGAGTACATGTCACCGTGTCCAGACAGTGTCACTGTGTACCTATTCAAGTGCTATTAACTATTAGCAACTGCCAGAGTTGTGTAGACCTGTCGGGGTTGCGGGTTAAAATAAGTAACATTTGTTCTGTATGGTTGCCGGGATTCGACTGTATGATGATCTGGCGGTGAGGCTCTGTCACATGGCTGATTATCGTCGAACCCCGCCTTTGAGCTGTTGATCGTGCTATCAACCACTGGTTTGTCTGGACCGCCGTGATACATTGAGTGAGGGACTGAGTTTGGTTTTACGCCGCTTTTAGCAATATTCCAGCAATATCACGGCGGGGGACACCAGAAATGAGCTTCACACATTGTACCCCTGTGGGGAATCGAACCCGGGTCTTCGGCGTGACGAGCGAACGCTTTAACCATCAGGCTACCCCACCGCCCTCCGTGATACAGTCTAACGTTAATCGTCATCTACTGTGTCCCTTTAGATTTGGGGGCGGTTGGGGTAGCCTTGTGGTTAAAGCGTTCGTTCGTCAGGCAGACGACCCGGGTTCGATTCCCCAGATGGGTACAATGTGTGAAGCCCATCTCTGGTGTCGTGATATTGCTGGAATATTGCTAAAAGCGGCGTAAAACCAAACTCACTCACTCACTTTAGATTTGTTTCTTAGTAGTGAGTGAGTATGGTTTTATGTCGCTTTGACGAGCGACCGGTTTAAGCACTAGGCTACCCCACCACACCAAGTAATCATACTTTGTAACGCATTTTGAGCAGACACAAGGACCCAAGACAACGCCGACATGCCGTTACCTTCGTTACCACCAGGGAATTCATTACTCACATGTGACGTATTCTGTGCTTCGGTGAGGATGGAAATGACGATGGTGGCGACCATGCTGACGACGAAGAGGAGAATGGTGAAATGGAGGAAGTGGACCTTGGAGATGATGAGAGGACGGTTATCCTCCTCTCCACAGCCTGGGGTTCCGTAGCCGAAATCCAACCCCATCCGGATCAGACCGATTACCAAGCCTATCATCATGCCCCAGAAAGCACCCTGTGTTAAAACAACGCTTATTATAAACCTTTTGGACAGCTTTGTTCAACTCCCTGGATATCGAGTTTTATGTGGTACATTTTCTTAAATTGCGCACATGGGACACGGTATCCAACCCCGACTATAAAAACACACAGAAATATAGCTTTTAGCACCGTAAACACAGTACAGTGTTAGTGGTTGAAATTCAATGTAAATAACAAAAATTATATAATTATTTTCAATTATCTCACGATAAAATTGCTGGTTGAAGTAAAAGTGTTTTACTTCTATGCATCTAACATAGATGAGTAAACGATAAGTTAAACAATTGTCTGTATCCACACAAAACGGCATATGTATAAGCAATACATTTACAAACAGTTATTGGTAGATCAGTTGACTCTGAGTAAACAACTGCCGACCTTAACTATCGAATAACATCAAATATGGTGACACCACTTTTCGGAATGTACGATCCGTTTTCGACTATAAAGATTTCATACTGAACCGTTATCCAGACGCTAAAAAAAAGAGAGTGAGTTTGGTTAAACAACGCTTTGAACATTATTTCTTCATGGCATGCTAAAGTGAAGAATGCGCAGTAGGATGCAGGCCTTGGGATTTTACTACTTCATATAGTGCCCGCTTGATCTGCATGGGTTTTCTTTAGAATTCTTTAGAATTTGATTATCTGCTGAGCATTATCAAACACTTTTTGATATTCACTTTCAAACAAATAGTGGCGTTATTTTATTTCACAAAACAAACCATTCATTTTGGCCTTTTTTCATAATAAAAAATCTCCCTATCCACACTAGAAATCAAATGAAATCCTTACTGAACACCCAAATATGGAGCGGAGCTGACAAATCCAGAAACAAGTTGAGAAAACCAGTTAAATTAAATATCAGAGACCTAGCTTTAACCATCATATAAACCATTATAGCGCTTCCTCCTTCGTAGAGCTTCGTTAGAACTCTTACGTTATTGGCTTACGACAGTCGTGGCGCTAACACGGTCCTAGCTTCAAAACGGTATTGGCTTATGACAGTCGTAGCGCGAAGACGATCGTAACTCCAATACGTTATTGGCTTACGACAGTCCTAGCGATAAGATAATCGTAACTCCCATACCTATTAAGCTTACGACAGTCGTAGCGCTAAGATCGCTTTGTGAGACGGGGCCCCGATCCCAACACCACACTTAACGCGCAGATTTAGATGACAGCCGCTGTATGCTTATCAGATTTAGTCACCTACACGGCACGCATACACAAGCTTAACCTTCTTTTTTATTTTTCTGGAGGGCTGTGTTTGTTTAGTTTCATTGAGTGTATGTTACTGCTCAATCTATGCATTTCGACCTCATTCTGTTATCTGTATGCACGTCTTGTAATCACAAAGGTATCTGTGTACATGGCAGATAATATTCTCGGGAAAAAGCGGCCAAGGTCATGTTATAGTGTAAACTGATTTATCTTAATATGTGGAAATGTTGGTTGAGGTGGAGATGTTGTTTAACATCACGTTCATATTTTTACTCTTAAGGAGCAGTAGTTTTTAATTAAACGTTACTTGAGATAGTTTGCCAAAAGCTCACTCATTGTTAAATCTCTGTGTCATATAAGGTGAACTTGATGACCATGGATGCATATCTATAAAAAATTGTTGTGGTTCACTTTCAGTACCCAAATCGTTTTCACATATCCTGATCTTACCTTTTCCACAAATGCAGTCACTATAAAGAAGTGTTGTTTTTTTAAAAGTTAGGTTATGCTATAGATTACCTTTTCATTTGTTCTTCCCCATAATATGGCACAGAGGAAAAGGGAGAGAACTGGCGGGGCAAAATATCCCGTCACTGCTTGAATGTAGTTGAAGAGTTGTCCCCCTTGGGCAGCTTGAAGAACTGGAATCCACAGTATACTCACGCCCACCAGAACCAGTATAAACACTCTGAAATGGGTCCACTTCAGTGTTAACTTGATAAATATAGTGTTACAGAACTATGGACTCATTTTACATGTGCCGATCAGTGCTCGTATTATTAACCACGTATTCCCCTGTACTAAGATCGATTTGAAATTATGCTGGAATGCAATACAATATCATCCGCTAACTTCTTCACACAGTTTCGAAAACTAGAAGTATATATGGTTGTATTGACTCAGACACGATATAGTAAACGTCATGAGTGAGTGAGGTTTTACGCCGCTTTTAGAAATATTAAGGCAATATCACGGCGGGGATCCATCGTATTGTACTTGTAACATAATTCACAATCTGTAACATAATTCACTGCCTGTAACATGATTCGCTGTTTGAATCACTAATTACTACTTATTGCAACATATGTATAATGTATATGGGCCGGAGGCCTTTTGTACAATAAACATCTTTGACTTTGACTTTGTATACTAGAAATGGACATTGGACCATGGGGGAAATCGAACCCGGGACTTTGGCGTGATGAGCGAACGCTTTAACCATTAGACTACCCACGGTGTCGTGTGAGATTGGTTACTGCTACGGCACACTCTATGACTGACCGTTACTGCTTACTGTTTCGGCAACCGTTACTGCTTACTGTTCCGGCAACCAAGTGCTACGATCACCGTTGTTGCTACCATTACTAACGTCTCCGTTATGGACGCCATCGCCACCTACCTGCCAACCACGAGCAACTCGGAGTCAGCGGCTTTAGGTCGAAGTCTCTTCCAGATATCAATGGTGAATATGGTGCTGGCGCTGTTGAATACCGACGTCAGTGATGACATAAGCGCAGCCATCATCGACGCTAACATCAGACCTTTGAGACCTGCGATGACATAAACGGTTCTTACCATCAAAGTAACTGCTTGATGAAACAACAAGTTATGTCCAAGTGAGTGAGTGAGTTTAACGTTTAACGTCGCTTTAAACGTTAATCCAGTTGCATGACGTAGTTGTGACAACGTAGGCGGAAAGCCGGAAGTGTTGAAGGTCACAAACGTTTACTACTAACCTAATCAGGGGCGAACCGGGATTTACGCCAACAATGTGAAGTTTCTGGCTTGGCCAAGGGAGGCAACTATGCACAGCAAATTGATGTGGCTCAGATGACTGAGCCATCCATTTTGTCGACGTGAAATTATGGATTCACATATGGACAGCCAGTTATCTTTAGAGGCATACAAACTTCATTACATAGGAAGTTATTACAACTTACGTTACAATATATGTTTCTCAGATCCGTTTGGTATGAATATAAGCACTTAGTGCTCAAGACTCGACACTTTTCTCGTGGTACGGATAAGTCGATGCATTTGCACCAGTGTCATATTTGAAAGGATTCACAGCATCTGTGCCTGTGACTGACCACTTTCATTTCCCTGAGAGTGAAGAGAACATGTACATGTTTTAGAATGGCAAGAGGGTGATGCTACCTTCCGGCATGAGTTCGATGACAAGTTTAGGGTAAGCGATGTTCGTGCAGCCGGCCTTATTCTCACATACCTCCCAGCAGGTGTCGGGGTCAACACAAGCTACCTGGTCTGAAACACAGTATACCACGTGGGTTTGAACATAGGTACCTTCACAGATCACAGACACATAGATAGGGTTCACTATCTGAACAATATTGATCATCATCTGGACATAAATCCCCGCATAGATAATTCCCTTGGCGCATCGTTTGGAATTATCACCACCCGGATAGACAATTATCTTTGTTGATTACCTGGATTGAGCAAAACGTAGGCATATTGTTTCACGGAATTAGGTAAAAAGGTTCACATTGTTTTCAACGTTTATATCCAACAGTCCATAACGCGGGTAATAAACCAGTTTATATACGTATACACGTTAACAATAAGTAGACTGGGTACTTATTTAATCATTAATTGAAAAGAGCAGAAAGTGAAAGAGTCCGACATAGTAAAAAGCAAAAGCTCATCCTATTGCCAGGCAACCGGATAAAAGTTGTCTGTTAATGGTCGTGGTCGAGATCATTTTCTGTGTTTCAAGTCATAAACGTAAAATATCCCCAGCATTTCTTTGCTTGGATATTCAAATACCAACGTAACACATGCAAACGTATTTCTTTGGGTCTATATTAATTACCCGGACACTGGCCTTGGATAGTGAACTACCAGGATAATGAATCAGTTAGATAGAAAATTACCTGGTAAAGGAATTACTAAAGTAGAGAATTACCTGGATAGAGAATCCTGCTGATCATGCCAGGAAAGACTATGGTGAAGAGCGGGATGACCTTGAGGTATGCCGCCATGATGGATCCTCCTTTGACGTGGTGCATGTTCTTGGCCGCCAGAGAGCGCTGAACCAACACCTGTAGCAGAACAATCAGTTATATAGTTTACTACACATTGTGTTCGTCCTTATTAGGATACCCTTTATAATTACCTGCCAGAAGTGTGAAAACAGTAAGTAACCTTGTTACAGCTGAAATAATCCAGTCACAGATCACCTTCCAAGTTGTTGAAGGAAATGTGATGGTTAATTAGACATAATCAAATTTAACAACACTTCTTTCACTTTTCAATAACAGAAAGACAAAATTAGGTATATTTTCCTTTGTCCCTCTGTCATTTGCTCAGTTGAAATCTAGTCGTGTTCGTATTATTGACTGAGTGCATCTCCATTCAATTACTGTTTACTTCCATGATTAAGCCCTATCACGTAGATATGTCTAACATTTTAACAAGCTGTCTCACTTGCCTGATCAGAACAGAAGTACCAGGCACTTAAAATGGTTATGCCAAAAACGTTCCCCGGCCAGGGGAGATCACCCGTTGATGCATCCCGCAGCAAGTGGAAGGCGTCTTTAGGTGGCAGGCCACATACGTCACTTCCGTTTATACGTTTCTCCGGAATGGCTTCGAAGTATTTTTCGTACAGAGGTTCTAACCCCCCTACCTTAGCAAAACCTGAAATTGGAAGAATTGTGGCCAGTTTCTTACGTCTTTTTCAAAAGCAATAGCGACGATTGTGATGTCCTCGCATGTTTTGGAAACAATTATAGAGTCAATTTCAGAAACAATGTCTCAAAACATATATGAAAAAAATTATTAAAAATCAAACTGATGTTTGAACATGTTAAATAATTACAACTTCTGTAAACAAGATATAGTTATTGAAATGCTAATATATGGAAATACGGATTACAATCGCTTTTGGGGTATTTTACAGTAAGAAAACCTGGATCTGGCTGACACGTCACTGTTATTTAATGCCAGAAACACACTTACTTATACCCATGAGTATAAACGCCCCAGCGACCATGATGATGGTCTGTAGAGTGTCTGTGTAGATAACAGCCTTCAGGCCACCTGAAATACGTAATATTGTTTGTGTTAAACATATTGTATTGAGCTAAAAGACAAACGTATTACCGCATTACGTATTATCGACGACCTTCATGTGTACTTAACATATGGGACCCGATAATCATGTGTTCACCAACGCGAGTCTTTTATGATCATAAGAGAACAAAGCCGCAATAATGAGTATGATACAAGACTACGTAGCTTCAGATCACGTTCCATTGCATCTATTCTTTCGGTTTTCATATTTAATTCTGAACTGAATAACATGTACGTTCACGTTATGTACCGTAAGGTGAGTAAGGTAAAGGGTTCATGCAAGGTGGGCTACTTTCGCTCCTTCTGTTGCATTTACGAATATCGATACCAATTTATGTGGCGTCACAACGTGTAAAATAACAACCGATCAAGATATTAAATCGCTTACTCCCCGAAGTTATTCACCTTGTTTGGCGAGCTATTTGAATCTACGCACGGAAATACGCGGCTCCCGAATCTAGTGTTGTTCTATGCGAAAATTTCATTCTTGTTGATCTCATATATTGCATATAGAACTTTATAAAAAAATAAATCCATCTTTATATAACAAGTTTTATGGATAACAACTTCTTTATTTTCGTGAGTGCGACGTTTCGATACAGATTCTTGTACCGTTGTCAAGCAAGAGTGATACATGAAGTGTAGGAGCTGCATATATATACTGTATATAACAATGAAACAACATAATAGACAAAGGAAACAACATAATTGCCATGATTGGCTAAGCAGTAAGCTGATGAAGCCAGTAAGTACATAAAGAATAGTGAATGGAAGCCAGAGATGTAGTTACAATGAGATGTTTATACAATGGATGCGATGTTTATACAATAGACAGAATTATACACGTTTTGTCGGCGATATATTAATATAAAGTTTCCTTTAGACCCCTTCTTTAACATCAAATAATCAAGTACAGGTATATTTTGTCATGGTAGGATGGATACCTGTAGATTCGGCGTGCCCAAATTAACTAGTATTTGTATAAGCGACAACAATGTGAGTATAATTTTACCGGAGACGGTGTTGATGGCGGTGATGGCGAGGAGGACGAGGATGCCAAGGTAGATGTTCCACCTGACGGCTTGTTGTATGAAAATGGCACCAGCATACATGTCTGCCTAGAGATAAAGGAAGCCATTTTTAATGTAGTCATGTCATCCTACAGATACACATGAGCCTAAATAAGAACAACCTGAATCTAAGGGCAAGTTCTGATCCAAACCACGGGCCCTCGTGTCTTTGCGAGGATTACAGATGTCAAGAAAAATCAAAAAAATATCGAGATGACCCCCGACTCGAAATGCTTCACAGTACAATACATTATGACCTTGTCATAATGTATTGTACTGTGTAGCATTTCGTGTCGGGGGTCATCTCAAAATATTTTTTTAATCTTCGCAAGGACACGAGGGCCTGTGGTCCAAACAGGTGATCATTTATTTTTAATGATCATTCCCTAGCATACTAGAATGCACATGAGAGGCACACTTGGATATAAATTTCAAAACTGCAGTACGTCCACTACAGTTTTCTGAGCTGGGTTTGCTGATGACACTACTGCAAATGAACTATGTCAAGACATAGACTTTCAGAAAATACACGATGGCAAGATATTGGCACGCTGACGCAGGGATGTTCTGTGTTAACATGGGAAATGTGAACATTTATCGCACAGGTTTTAGCGGCCATCGGTGGAGCATAGGATTGTCCAAGACCCGGGAGACGTAAGAAAACCAATGAACGCGTTGACGGAGTCCTTATTCCTCTAGTACTTTGCAATCCGATGCCGCACGCAATGATCCCCGATATGAACCCAGTCGAACATCTCCGGGGCTATATTGGAGTCAAGTGCGAGGTAGAGTTCCCCATGTTCCAAATCTGTAGGAATTGTAGCAGACACTCCATTTGGAATCTTAGTGAGCTCCGGTGTTGAGAATTCGACACGTGAGTGTCAGTATGAGGAGGCGACAGGCAGACGGTTTCCTGTTCGAGGTGTGGTCGGCAATGGTAGTTCATCACAACAATTATTATTTGAGAACTGTGTGACAAGAAGATTGGTGGCGTTGTCATGATGGTCAAACATTCCGGCTTGTTGATATTCATGTATTTGTGTATTCCTTTCAGACTGCAGCTAAATTGTCACTAACTTCCAATTTAATTTTGCTTTAACTGGAGTAAAATATGTTACTAGTACTATGTTTATGGTTATTTGGTTTTCAATGCATACACAACAGCATTTTGTGTGTCCGTACCCATATGCGAAAAGTTGAGGTTGATTAATGCTCATGTGTACGTAAAGGAAGTCGTTATAATACACTCATGTCAGTCTACAGATAACAAAAGTGACTGTAATGCACTCATGATAGTTTACAGATATAAGAAGTAATTTATAAAGCTCTCATGTTACTCTACGTGCGCGAGAGATCAGTGAATCACACGCATTATCAGCCTAGAGCTGAAGAAATGTGTTCAGTGGACCCGGCGCACGAAGTCGTTCTGCTCAAGAGAGATCATACGAATTTGTACTGCATGACATGACCAACCGAAAACCGTAAACATGATGATAACCAATCAAGAGATACTGCCACACCTAAGGGACGTAACTCGTCGAAGAGATTTTCGGGGCGTTTGATGACCTGGCCACGAATGACACCTTTTACATATAAAACCCTTAAGCAATAACGCATGACTGTATATGTTCTGAGCCCTTAGTGTATGGCTGTTTGGCTGACTTGTGCCATTTGGTATCCAACATTACCAACCAAGCAATGCATTAACCAACATGTTTATTCGTATCCATTTTCGTTTTCAAACATCTTCAGACATGATTTGTTCTCTCTGCCTATGTTATGTTCGGACATATTTATTATTCAATGACTGCCATCTGGGCACTTACTGATATTTTGGTGAAGACATAGATCATCAGAGACAACACCGCCATGTAAACCTGTAACCGTTGACCTCCAAAGCGCCGCATCAAATACTCCGGTAAGGTGTAAACCTGTGAAAGACACGCGTGGTGGATGACACGCATGTGTTCATGGGTGATTTCATAAGCTGCTGAAGCCAAAGTCTGAGTATAAGCTACACATTTTTTATAAGAATTATCGAACACCTATGCATCAGTAACCTTGCCTGCCGTATGTGTACCCAGGATTCCCAGCAGAGCAGACATGTTTGTTAACCTCTTACACATTGGTATAAAGATATATGAAATAATACAATAAACTTAACATTGTTTAAACATTTCAGAATATTCATGGCCAATAGTTCAGCTATTGGAAAAATCCACAGCATTTTCATTTTTTAACTCAGACAAATATATTTGTATATATTTAAAGAAAAAAGTAACCGTCATAATTAACATTTTTCTCATGCTGTGAGTATCTTTTACGATTTATGGTGATGTGACAACTTAGTGAAAATGGAAGCCCAACGCTCACTTATGGTTTTGACTCGTTTTGTAAATTATATTTATCTTACACTTTCAAACTCTGAGCAGCGACCGTATAATTGGAGCGAAATTGCAGGGCATCAGTTTTTAAAGAAGATACAAAGCAACCAAAAATAAGATATACCGGTCCTTCATGTAGACGTTATGCTTCACACCAAGACACATACTTAACAAGGATAAGACTGTTGCAGGTCATAGGAACGCAACTATGCACAAGCTAAGTAAGCCCTCTGTGACATCACTGTCGTTTTACGCCAATCTATTACTCTGTAGACATAATCCTGCACGTGTGAGGGGTTACCACACAAATGCCATCCCCGATACGCATACATACCCCGCTTGCTATATACACAGGGACAAACAACCAGGCTAGCAGCAGCAGGCAGAACAGGCCCTGGAAGGAAATTGTCACAACTATTGTCAGCGAAAAGGTTCTCTTGTATTCCCATCGCATTTTCTAAGGAACGTTGAATTGACGAACTTCACTTCTAATCAAAAGAAAATAAATCGTGGCAAAAGGTAATTTCACTTGTTTTTTTAACAAAAAAAATGTTTCACTTTTTGTAGAAGAAAATAAATCCTGGCAAAAAATAATTTCACTTGATTTAAAAAAACCCGTTTGCTGGACACGGTAGGCCTTGTGTCAAAGTTGTAAAAACATTAAAACTGTGCGGTTCCTTGAAGTGAAATAATATTTCACATCGTTAATAATCGAATTCCACTGGTCTCGTCTTAATGAACACAAGAAGAGTTATTTATGACTTCAATTTGAAGTGCAGTGTCTGTCTCCTTTGTTGTTTGCCCAAGAACACACACACACACAAAGGAAAAAAAATACAATTTAAGAGAAAATATTTCACTATACAACTATATTCGGTCACCGTCATGTTTATAACGGAAACAATGTTGAAGGACATTAAATATAATCTCCCGTCAATGTTTGAGGATGGTTGATCTACATTAACCTACATTAAGTTCATAACTTGCGACGGCAATTCCCGACGCCGCTCCTGTTCCTGCGAGGCCGATGAAGCTGCCGCTGCCAATGTTGCTGGAAAACAGAGATGCTCCAATCTGGAAACAAAATGGTCCTGATAAACGCCGTGAATGATTGTAAGTAGGGACGAAAAGTTGGGAATGGCATTTGTCCTCGTATATAATGACTGTTGAATTTGACGTCTTCTGAACTGTTTGAAGAAGCGCTTCAGTGGAATTTCGGAAGATTCCGATTTTTACCATTTTGCTAATACAGTCTTTGCACATTGATGTCTTATGATTTAAGTCATAAAACTGTATCAACCATCCTAAAATGCCCTCCTAAGCCGTATGGATTACCAAATGCTAAATTCTCTAGTACGTATTCGACTCCGTTTCCACTTCCTGGAAATGCCAAAATTCTTACTAGTGCGAAATAATATTTCAAAACGAAACTGAACCTTTACAAAATCTGTCTAGTGAACATTACCGTGAATATCTGACTGAAGCATCCATGAAGACAGACAGATGGATGATACAGGTTACATTTCTCATCACAAGAATTTATATATTGCGGGAGAAAATACGTTAGTTAGGTCATGATTTTTTAATATCATTTGTTACTCAATAGTGCGGGTTCGAAATGATTATATCTCAACGTAACTTTGTCAGCACCATTCTCGTGTTTGTCGATGTTACCATTGTAAAGAGCTGCATCACTTCGGGTCTTCCCCCTGCATTAAACTGATACATAGAACTGATACAGTTCACAGCCACTCACTTATTCAGCACTGGATCTACCAGCGTGCAGAAATTATGAATCATTCAAGTCTTCCAACTGAGCATTCGACAATTTCTTTGAGTGGCATTATAGAAACTGGGAAGTAGAATAAAGACTCACTTTATGGATAACTTCTGTTATTTCGTCAGTTCGACGTTTCGATACAGATTCTTGAACCGTTGTCATTCCTGAATCGATAGGTAGCACTCACGAAATATAATAACTTGTTATCCTTAAAGTGTGTTTATACCGAGCATTCGAGTTTGATTGATCTTTCGAGTTTGATTAACATTCTAATTCGAGTTTGACTGAGCATTCCAGTTTGATTGCACCTTGAGTGAGTGAGTGAGTGAGTTGGTTTTTACGCCGCTTTTAGCAATATTCCAGCAATATCACGGCGGGGGACACCATAAATGGGCTTCCAAGCATTGTACTCATATGCGGAATCGAACCCGGGTCTTCGGCGTGACGAGCGAACGCTTTAACCACTAAGATACCCCATCGCCCCAGTGTGACATGAAGAATCCCGGTTATCTTGTCACATTTTAAATCTAAGTAATATATTTATTTTGCAAGCAATAACAGCGTCATTGACTTTTGACAACATGGTTACACCCTGGCCAAGGTCCAGCTTGCACGCTCTGATGTTCAGCAGTATGTGCATTTCAAAATAGGCCAATAGCGCTTTAAAAATACGCATATTTTTTAGCAGTTCGTGCTCGGAGACCAGCTAAACATTATAGCTGTCACCTGATTGTTGACCCAACCCAGAAGTATAACCACATGATCACAATTCGATGAAGATGTTTTCAACGCTTATACATACTTATACCACTCACTTTACAATTTTTATCATAACTGTAACCTCTCTCGCCCTTATAATTTTCAAATGGTTTGTTTTCACATAATAAGTGTTAGAACACACAGAGCTGTCTTCGTAAAATAAATAGTCTCGATGATTCGTTTCAGTTTTATGGGACACGGGCTGCTGCAACAATTGAGGTGCAATATCACAACAGCGTCACCCATTTTATCTTCAGTTAAATAGGCCCTTAATAGGAACGGCGTTTCCAATTTTAAAAATATGGGTCGGCGTCTTCTGCGCAGAATCAAAATATACTTGTGCGCTATAATCTCCACTAGTTTGGTTTGTGTTCAGCGCTACTCTCGCTGCACAACGGGATAATATCCGGAAGCCCAAGAATCCTCAAGTGAGTGAGTGAGTTTAGTTTTACGCCGCACTCAGCAATGTTCCAGACAATGGCCGCGGTCGCTGAATTTAAGACTCAAATTACACGTAGAAGTTAATCAATGTGATGACACCGACGTGTTCGGTTTGTGAAGTTTCCTGTTTGATACCAGATAAGAATTGAGAATGGCACTCACCGCAAACCAAAGCATGTCCCTCCCTGCCAGAAAGTAACCACTGACGCTTCCACGCTGTGTCCGCCATGTCGCCTGAAAGAGAGAACAGCTAACAGATGAAATACTAACTATAGACTATGTTGTTGTTATAGTTTTGAATCTAAGTAGTCACTGAGCTCAGGTAAAGTTAATTCTAAACAAGAATGGTCCTGAAATATTCAGTATGGAAAGTTTATAATCGTATTCAGTGTTTAAACAATACAGTACTGTGTGTAGTGTGGTTAATATGTTCTAATGATTTAGATTAATTTTTTTTATATTTTATTCCACTGAGAAACAGGTAGGCGGAATGTGTGACAAACGTAATATTGAAGACGAATATCATTCTATCCTAATGTACATCATCTAAATATACGTTCTATCCACCAGTGAACAAATTCTGAATACTGATGTAAAAATGACGAGTTTCAAAATGTAAATTTGTATCGCTATCCATTTCAATCATTTTACGTGTACTACGGTCCTTTGGTCATGCTGTTGATCACTAGATTATCTGGTCCAGACTTGATAATTTTCGGATAGCCTCCATATAGCTGGAAGGCGTAGTCTCCAAATGCCTACAGTGACAAATGCCTACAGTGTAGAATAAACAAAGTAATGCACCAGTGATTTCAAGCAGCATTATCTTCTCCCCATTACATAAATGGAACATTCCAACAGACAAGGTGGACAAATGCCTACACAATGAAAAAATGCTGGGGGTTTTCATATATTTGTGAAATGGAACATTTATTGAATTCATATCTTTACATCTGACAGGGTCAAATATCTTTACATCATCTTATGCATATTTTGACTGGCAAAAAAGTCTTCACTAGTCGACCAACAGCACTGAGAAAGTCCAAGGGACCCTTCACACCAGCTCGTAGCTGATCCTTTAGTTTATCAAGCCTGCTGTCAATCTCCTTGTACACACGACGTCGTGGCGGTGGTTTAGCTCCATGGATGAACTGAACAAGCTTGTTCCGTTCGGTCTTCTCCAGCTTCTGAAGAACCTTCACCAACGCAAAGGTGTTTGGATAAGCTCTCATGACGACCTTGTTCAGATGGGAATGCCACCCCTCGAGATGGTTGTTCGTGCGAGGTCCTAGGTTGTCATGCTGGTTCTAGATTCCGACTCTGTAGAAGGCACGGTCGTCATCCCAGGTGTTGGTGATGTAATCGTGCCACTGGACCTTCTGTGGAATCTCGGGAGCATCTACCCAGGCATCCTGAACCTGCCTCACAGGCAGAAAGGTAGAGCTGTAGCACGCCTTATCCACGTATACACCTCAGGATCCTGGAGATAGACATCCGTGAACTTAAGTTCTTGCACCTTCCTCCACAGAGCTTGTGAATAGTGAAAATAGCAACCACGGACAGCACTATTTGGGAACACTGCTTCTGTTGCTCTGATGGCGGCGATTTCAAAGTCTGTTCGGATGCTAGTTGGCTGAAGTGGATGTCCAGTGGTTTGCTGTACTTTCTCACTCACTAACTGAGTCATCTTAATGTCAATGAGGCCATGGATAACATACAGCTGGTCCCAGAGTGCAGGGCAGGAGTAAAAAGTTCCATCCATGTAAAGTGTGTCCACAACGTTGAGAAGCCTCAGCCGATCACTTGTTGCAAAACACAGGATTCTGTCTTCTTCGCCATCATCAACACATAGAAAAGGCTGTCCATCTACTGTCTGCTTGAAGATGTCTGGAAGATTGACGTCAGCAAGAGTCTTGGGAAGTGGAGGCATGGTCTTCCTTCTCTGCTTGTACAGGCCACTCTTCATGGTGTGGAAGGAGGGAATGGCAGCAGCCTCTTGAACATCAAGCTGAGCTAATTCTTCGTTATAGATCATCTGGATGGGAGTTGTCTCGGCCTGGACTCTCTGACGAAGTGTGCTTGTAATCTTCAAGGCAACCTGGTCTTCTGAAGGATGATTATGTGGCGACTGGTTACGGACAAACTGTCCAACTGTGATACATTTGCCTAGACAACCACCTTGTACACACTTCCAGTGCACACATGTCAGGCGCCGGTTATTCACCCTGTACCTGTAGCCATCTAACAGAACTTGCTGCCCACCTTTCTGCGACGTGTAGTACTCAACCTTCTTTGGATTCACCATGATTTGAACCAAACTATGCAGAAGTCCCATTTTATTTCAACATGTTTCCTTCTCAAACTTACTCAGTACAACATCTATTGCATGCTAAACAGAAGTAATTAAATTGCTTTTACATATATAGTTCCTGTTGAGAAAGATAGAGAAATTGTATTGAAAACAAGCAAAAAGGATACATAAGGCACTGCTTGTGCAGATATGATCAGATAATCTCTAGGAAGTTTTCATAGTGTAAACAGGTTAAACTCATTAGGGTGGAAGTGACCACTTTTGTGCAGGAAAGCGTATCACTGCTGCTCACCTAAAACAACATACTCCGTAGCTATTATTGCCTGTAGGCATTTGTCACTGTAGGCATTAAGAGACCTGACCAGCTTGAATACTGCTGAGTGCGGCGTTAATCAACAAACCAACCAATCCTTTGGCGGATAGTTCAACATAATGTTTATTTTCATTGTTTTACATGGCAGTCAGCTACATTCCATATATATACAACACCACCGTGTAAATATGAGTGTGGAACAGTCAAGACAGTAGTTGACGCACGATGATACCCAGACAACCACTTGACCGAATCTGACTACACGGTACCGCTTTAATCGCCACTCATGGTCATCTTGACCAGGGATTCATGTTTAGATACAAATGGGATCAATTCTGATCCACAGGCCAAGCAAGTAGACAGGCATGTGGTACTGGGGAACTATTCTGACCCACAACCCATTAAGTAACAGGACAGCAATTGGAAAATTAGAGCCTGGTCTAGACAATCCAGTGCTTGAAACCATCAGCATCGATTAAGACAAATTGAATGCAACTACCAAATTCCGCGGTCTTGGCAGTCATATTCCGTTCGTCGCCTCTTACGGCAAATTCCTGTCAGCCTGTAGCTTGTAAAAGGAAAGTACATGTTATCAAACAATGCTAATACTTACCCATATACCAACTGCAAGACAGACGAACAAATATACTATGATGACAACGAGATCTACCGTGCCCACACCGGCATTCGCAAACGCGCTTCCGGTTCCTTCAGATCCGTTAGTGGATGCCATCCCTTTGTCTAATCTTCAGTAGTCGCTCGTATTTTGAAGTCTGCCGACTAACTGACTATAATAAACAACAGAAATATGACCAATTTAACAATAACAATTTTACAACTAAGAGAATGGTATTGCTGTTTCGGTTTAATGTTAGTTATGAAATTATGTTTGGTTAATCACATGTGCTCAATTGTCGTTGTACATAATATCATGCAAAAGAAAGCCTTAGCGTCTTAACTTCGAGTAATTCTTTAACAAGTGAAATATTAAAAGCGTTTAACTGTAATAATACGACGCCTTCGTACACTGTAGTTGGAGTAACTTCCCTTTGATAAAGGGCAGTTACTCGAGTTGGCGGATCGATGGCCTGTCTCGAAAGTCAAATAGAAACAATGTGTGCAGTCAATGTGTTACTTTCCCTACCCGTACTTTCGCCAGGAGTCCACAATTTGGTATTGATTGGAACTATTTTAATTGATGTCACTGTCTGATTATCAAATCATTGACATCCTGACGTAATATATATTTAGTTCTAAAATTGATATTGTGTGAAGAAGTCGTTATCAAGTTTTTGTGGTTTGGATGGGAAATGTGCTGTATTAAGAAAATACGCTATGTATGTATAATAATGGATGTATAACATCCTATAACTACTCACGTGATAACCTCTTTATGACTGTATGACTAATAAAGGTAAGAAAGAAAATCAATTGTCAACAAACTATGCCATATACCCACTGCAGGACAAACAAATGTACCATGATGACGATGAGGTCAATGGTTTTGACCTCCTCTTGTCTTTGTGTATGATGAAATATAATTATGATAGTACGTTGATCACATACTTTAACATACAGACGCCCCGAACTACAAAACACGAACTACCCTGCCCTGAAAATGTCGGACTATATCAAGTTATGCATACTCATGTCAGTTGCTGTAGTCGTCGGTATTCGACGGCCGTAACTACAGCGTTGAACGTGTGCAGTGAATACAACTAGCATCTAACTGCTCTTACGCTATCTGTTCTGCACATGTCAAGGCGAGGGTTTGACCTTGGATCTGGTAAATCTGTTTTTAACATTGTAGATATAATGTACATGCTAAATTAAGTAATTATGGCTTGGCAGCTACAACTCTGGATTGGCTGTTGTATTGGCAGCGTTTTGTGGGCAAAGTTTATTTATAATCTGTGTAATCAAAGAACAGACATTATCCACATGTATGTGATAATTGCTTCCTACTGGGCGCATCGTCTTCATAAATTTCATTTAGAAAATTGAAAGGAAATTTTGATGGTATAAATAGGAGCAAGCCTGTGAGTTGACCAGAGTGAAACGGTGACATTGTGTTTGTTGTTTAACGCAGCACTTAGGAATATTCCAGTTATTCGGGTCTGGACAAGACAATCCAGTGACTGACATCATGTTGATCGATCTACGCAATTGAAATACGATGCCATGCATCAACCAAGTCAGCGAGCCTGACCACCCGATCCCGTTAGTCGCCTCTTAGGACAAGCACGGGCTGCTGAAGACAAATTCTAACCCGGATCTTCACGGGTCCAAAAGGATTAGTAATATCACAAGACAACGGTTTATGATGTGTTAATTTCCTTCTAAGTTAGATGTGGCGAACACCGCCTCTTACCTGACTGAAATCCTTTTCAGAAATCCCTATCAGAAATGAACCGGTATATCCTTCTTGTGCGAATGTCGGTTGACATGACGTCGCACTCTGAGCTATCCGAATGCAAAAATACAGTCTAAACACACCCCACTGATATATTACTTTCAGCCAGTGGAACCCAGGTACATGAATACAAGGGACGCTTGGTTGAGGTCACATGACATAAGATTGCGTGCCGGGGCATACGGCCCGACAGGTACGGCAATGTAATAACAGTTGGCTTGCAATAACAGTAACACGATTGACACGAACGAGACTGAACAAGCTATCAAGTCTTCTCTATACAGCTCCGGAATAAACCCAACATATCGCCCTTCTCTCTTACTCAACGTACGCTACATGTTCCCCTGTCTACCAGGGTGGGGTTTGAAACCGAATCTACGGTCACAAAAGAGAAATTTGCATCGCACCTGACAGTGAAACGTTCAGTTACACCATTGCCTTTTAAAGGAGAATACATGCATAGGCGTTACGACCTTCACGTTCACTCGAGGAATGTGTTCTATTAAAAACTGCTAGGATTTTGAACGAAGACGGGATAATTTATGTAGTATTTCTGCAAAACGAGATATTTTATTTAATTTTAAATGAGCCTAGATGTCTTTTAAAGGTCTTTTAGTGGTCTCTTATCATTATGAACACAAATTATATAATGTTTCATCTATTTCTTTCATAAAATTCACTGAAGGTGAAGTTAAACGCATATTTTTACAGTACGCTCTAAGTGTTATAACTGGCAAAAATATAACTGTAAATCTTGAGCGAGAATAGTAGACACATTAGTAATCAGCTACACTGCTGAACATGTCCAACGCTCAAGATTTACTAAAGAGGAGGAATAAGACTTTCTTAAGCAAGCCTACACGATAATGTTAATAATTGGAAAATCATTTTACTAAATGATCGCAGGTAGTTCAATGACAATAAGACAGTTTAAATTCTTTTAATGCTACCAGTATAAATTTTAGAGACCAGCGCCGAGTTTTTGCAGTATTCTAACAAACCACTTACTCTTCCAACAGATAGGTTCTGTTTGCAATGTTTTAACTCTTTTAAGGAATTTCAAAGCATCTATTTTTTTACCACAATTTAAATATCTAAGCGATAAACATCATTCATAAATTAAGTGAAAAAATGTGTTAAATCAGTTGTCAAGAACTCTAGAGTACTTCTTTTGATAGCGACGGTCTAATTTAGAACAACATTTTTATATTTATTCATATGATTATTAATTATCAAAATTATTATATAAAATTATGGCGCCCATCCCCGACAAATATTTTTATTTCCTTAAAACACACTTTTTTGTTTTGTAATTCTATGCATGCACACATAATTCAACGTATTTAAATTCAACTCAGCTAAATTTCGAACCATTGAAATATTCCGTCAAACTGCCTATGTGAGAAAAACGAAATGAGAGATAACAGTTTCATTGGGATCTTCCCACTTACCCAACTCCTATTGTTTCAGTAGCAGAACTCACTGGGGCGTGATAATCCCCGTTAATCCCTTATTTTGTTCCCGTTTCATTTGCTCAAAGCACATGATTCTATATTTTCTAAATGCATACAAGACTACATGCAAGTATCGTCATAGATAACGCAACTTATTTTATCTTCATTAAAAAAATTGATAGTGTTAATCTCTCATCAGTGGGTCAAACATTTTAGTCCATGTATGAATAAGATGGGCCAAACAAATGTTCCTGGTTATGATAAACTCAATAAAAGGCAGTGAGTCTGACCATCCGGTTCTGTTAGTCGCAGTGATTACATATGAAATCGTTGTACGATGAGGTAGAAATATGTTATATCAGTGATGTCTAGCCAGAAGACTTATGTGGTAATTAATTAATGATACATGGCATTAGATCCCATATGATTCAATAAACGTTGCGTAAAGACAGTTTGACCTTTTTATGTAAGTTAAACGAATTTCTACGGTTTGCACAGTTTCAGGTTTTAAAAGTTTTACAAGCGTCTAAATAGGCTTAACTAAAATGTTCTCCAATTGTTATTGACTTTGTCAGTGTACTCCGGCCCATTGACACTTGCTCGCATATGCCCATATCCAGTCTTTGCTTTCAGGTGACGTTTAAGTAATGGGTATAATTGAAAAAAGACTCAAATTCGTGCCTCATCATTTGTTGCTTCGTCACAGGTTGACATTCATAATTACCTGGATGCATGTATATCTTGGTTGAATAAGAATGCATGAGGCTTTAAGATCGGCAATTTCATCAGGCTGTTTCCGATCTCTCGCCCGCCCGGAACTTTCATTCCGGCGTTAAATGTTAGAAAAATGTCTTACCTAAACTTTCTCCGTCGCTGTGGACATTTCTACCCGGGTGTAATATAAAATATAGTCCTACCTTTGCATATGTATACCAGGTCAGCTTGACCTTCCTACGTCCACATTTATTAAAGAAATTGTTCCGAACCAAAGTGACTCAATGTACGTCGTAGATTAATTAAAAGAAGATAACCAAGTGATCTATTTAATAAACATTCATGGTTGAAAAATACGGAGGGCCTTGTTCAGAGTATGTGCGTAGGCGAATGGAGATCAATCAGCTGTACATATATTTGAACAGTATCGCGAGGGGATGTGTGCTTAATATGAAAATACAAGAAGATGTAAATCGGACTATGGCTTTCATTTCGACGTGTAATTTACGCACACTGCAACACAACAGTGTCCTTTTGTCAAGAGAAATTGTTATCTGGAAGTGCCTTCAGATAGCTTTTACGTACGTTTCCTTCAATCTCGAATCAATTTAAAAACAAGAAATTTGGACAAGAAGCTATTATATCATTATGTCTTCTTACAAATAAAAGCTGTGTAAGTTAAAAAAAAGTTGATTATGTCAGGGCGGGTTGGGATGGGGGTAAGTGTGGAAGTTGTTCGTGAAGAAATCACTGATTGTATTTTATTCTATTTTTACATAACCAATTCTCATGATATCCCAGTTAAGACAATCTTCGCTCATCATTTTGATCTCTGGATTGTTGGGTTTGACGCGATGTTTGTACAATCCATCGTCGTATAGCTCCAATATGTGCTGTGTACGGCGTTAAACGATAAACACATTAACAAAACATGTTAACTTTGTCGTGAGGTCCGGGAGGAAGCTTATCAGTACGGGCGAAATAGCGATACACTGCTTGTCTCAAAGTATTGTTTTAAGGTGAAAATGCATCCCTAAAGCATTACTTAGAGAATTACAGCAGATTCCGTATTTCGATTAGCAGTATGACACAGAACTGATAACCTTTGGCTCATGACTAAGAACGGTTAAACACATAATGGAGACCATTCTCTTCCCACAGAGGTTACTTGTCATATCGTCCTACGTAGGAAGATATGACAGGAGTAACCTCTGTGGGAAGAGAATGAATGGAAACAGAAAGACGTGAATAAGAGAAAGATAAACATTGATATATATATATATATATATATATATATATATATATATAGAGAGAGAGAGAGAGAGAGAGAGAGAGAGAGTGTGGAGAGTAGCTCAACATTTCGGAAGCCAAGCCACTTTACTAAGTTCCCCGTAGGATACGAGCCTGCTCTGTCTTGTGTTGAAGTTGTACTTGGAGAGATATGGACTGAGAGACAGTAAACATATGTGAGTATAGAACTTAGTGTTGCGTTTATCCTTGAATGTGTGTAGGCCAGTACATGAATGTGATGTAGTTAGTTAGGAGTCACGGTCGCCCGACCCCTCACTCCTTGACTGAGCATTCCCCATGGACCAAGCGAGTGCAGAGCTGGAGCTTACATCTCCACTGACAAGGTGGAACGACCATAATCAATAAGTAACTGTGGTAGCGTTTACTAACACCCAAACGCCAGTTACGACAGTACAGACAACAAGACACACCATGGTCCACACAACCGGAAAAATACAAACGTTGTCAAAAACATGATCAGACTCAAAACAACGCTGGAACATTGCAAACATAAAGTCCAGAAACACATTTAACACATTCCTTTATCAAACATATCACCATCCAAAAAAGCCCCAAACCCAATCTTGTTGGATCCCATGTTAGAGTTGGGTGAAAACAGCGCCATGTTAGCCGCCTGTAGTTAGCAGCGGGTTCCTTATTCGGTTTTCGAATAAGGAATAACGTGCTGGCAGGGGATTCGTTATTCATTCTATGCCCATCAGTTCTATAAAAAAATAAAATATAAGATATAAGCTAACCAGCACCGTTCGAAAAACGAATCACGAAAATCGAACCCGCTGCTAACTTCAGGCTGATCCATATGTTAGTATTTACATAGATGACAGTGGATCGTTACGACCCCACTTTTCTATGTATAAAGTTCAACCCCGCTTATCCTGACCCCTAGATATTCGGACACCTCACTTATCAGACAACATTTCCGTAAACAACAAAATATACTACATTAATACTTCCATTATCCGGAAATCCAGTTTCCGGAAATCCATGGCCAGTTTCCGGATCACGACAGCGAATTTTACTTACCAGCCTTGCAGAATATGCACAATTGTGTCCCACTTTATGAAGAGCGTCCACGTTTGATTATGTGTGTTTTGTAATTCACCACCTGGTATTCAAAATGACCTAGTATCGTGTGATTATCATGCTAAATTAATCCCGGTCTTACATGATTTGGGTACAAAATATATGCCCAGCTATATATGGTGTAATCATATTGTTATTTCTAAAGCAATCTGGATCGGTAAAAAGAGCAAAACGTGCTCATGTTAACACGGTTGGTTAGTATACGTTGTACAAAATAGTTCAAAACATAATGTACAATTGCACAAATGGAATATATAAAGTCAGTATTTTAAAGTAAGTGGTGTCTGTGGAAAAATATAAGAATGCTGCTATCCTTTCTACGTGAATTTAAACGTGCTCAAATCATTTGCTTTTGACGATAAAGTCGTGAACTGATTTAAGGATGCCCGTGTTTGTGGAACTATCATATTGTATTTGTGGTAGGTAAAGAAAAATGTGAGTAACTGTTGTATCCTCAAATCGATTCCCACATGTGCAGACGGGGATATCTGATACCTGACGTCTAAACCGCTTTATCAGCGTTAAGTCGGTGCAGCCGAGTCTGAGGCGACAGTGGAAAATTTGTGGTGTCTGTGGAAAAATATAAGAATGCTGCTATCCTTTCTACGTGAATTTAAACGTGCTCAAATCATTTGCTTTTGACGATAAAGTCGTGAACTGATTTAAGGATGCCCGTGTTTGTGGAACTATCATATTGTATTTGTGGTAGGTAAAGAAAAATGTGAGTAACTGTTGTATCCTCAAATCGATTCCCACATGTGCAGACGGGGATATCTGATACCTGACGTCTAAACCGCTTTATCAGCGTTAAGTCGGTGCAGCCGAGTCTGAGGCGACAGTGGAAAATTTGGCGGAATCTAGAAACATAATGTAAGTCCGGTCT